AAATCATGGTTTATAGAAAAGTACTGAGCCTCCAGAGTAAAGTGATTCTTGAATGTAATTTATCAGCATATTTATGTACTGTACATGCTTCTTAGAGAATTCGGAGTCGTGTGTGCAATATGTTGTTTACTTTATCTTATTTTCCATCACTGTGAAGTTTATATTTTCTGAATGTTAATCACTGAAACTGAAACCAAAGCATTTGGTCAGTGTGGCTCTGTACATACTATACAGTAGTACAGTATATTTCATGATTCCTGAATGCTGAATTTGTCTACTATAAAGACTAACCTCCCAAGACAAAAGGTTCACATACTTGTTGTCTGTCACTGCTGGCAAAAAAACAACTTTACTAATGTGTCAATTCAGACAGCTTCAAAGGTTTGCAGTGGTTGGGCAGTAAAAAACAACCATTAACAGTACATGGAGTACTGTATGTGGCCAGTAAAGGTACTTAACTATTACCTCACATAGAACTATACAGTATCTCACATAGAACTGCATAAACTGCAGGAGTCCCAAATCTCCACAGACATTTGTAAATATTTGGGGGAATTAATGACACAATATATTGTAGTAGTAGCCTCTGAAAAATTGTAATAGATGGGTTAGCCATCTCAGTGATGCAGTATGTACAAAAATGACTATAAATGTACACATTTATTGTGTTTATTATAAATTATTTAAAATATGAATGATTAAAACACAACATTAAAATGAATTCAGATGCGAAATAAACACATTTTATTAATTGTCCCATAGGTCTACGCAGACAGAAGGAAAGATATCTAGCACACAGGAAATAAAGTTAGAAAATTGGCTGAAAATACAAGTTAAAAAAGTGAAAGTTCTTCTATATGATTAAAATTTCAAACTGCTATCAAAACACTAGAACTGGCTCCAAGCCAAGTAAGTTGAGAGGAAAATAATATATTATCCAGCAGTGAATGAGCCCCTGGGATGATTCAAATTTAATCAATAATGAGAAAAATAGTTGCAGTACCAAATTTGTTATGCATGTGTAGAGATGCTCCATATTCAGTATAGTATGGTGCTATAATTGTCTTGCTATTTCTTTCTAGAATTAAGTTCGTGAAAAAAGCGGTAAAATTGTATCTTCTAATTAAGTGGCATCACTTACACCTCAGTAGATTTTCTGTAAGTTGGCCTCAATTGCTGCATTACTGCTGTTAATTAGTCCTTTTGTGGAGACTCAATCACAAGCACTAGAACTGAAACAGTATCATAACAAAACATTATCTGCAACAAATGATAATGTCAAAACATTCTTACGGTATTTGATGTCAGTTTACTCCTTTCTTCAAAGGGGAGCAAAATACAGATGTTTTTACTAAGAAATTTAGCTTTAGAAAATGTGTTCCAGAATGGAAAAAAGAAAAAGAGATAGAGAAAGGATAAAAGGATTATATGAGTATATTGAACAAAGACATTCAAATAGTTCACATCGGCTCTTTCTTAAAGACAGGAAAGGTAATACATGTAACCTTTTCAATATCTCTAAAAAGTCTATTGTTGAAGTATTGGGGCAGTTTTTAAAATTCAGGTTCCCTGAGTTCAGTTTTTACAAAGGTTTCTGTCATTTATACAGTATATATAATTATATTTTTCTGTATTATCTAACAGCTCTTATATTTCCTTGTCAAGAAAACAATTGAGAAATGTAGGAAAACTTTGGCTCGTCTGAGGCTCAATGCCATTACTTCCAGTAGGTTACAGATTCAGGCTTTTTATGGAGAAGCCTTGGGTTTCTAAAGACCAGCCAGCATTGCTGTCTCTACAGTAGGTTTGGGCTTATGTTGTTCTCTTCTGGTCTGCTACAAAACTGTCAAAAAAATACTAGGCTCAATGATAGTTAGTTGCTACACCTAGATAAATTCAGTTAGTGGTTTATATCCAGTCAACCTGGGTTATGCACAAAGGAAGGAGGTATTTAAACCTACTTTGATTTGATTAATTTCAAGCTGTAAGAGAAATCCACTTTTGTGAAAGAAATAAAAGAGGCAAACAGAATGTTAGGATTTGTAGTTAAAAAGAGCAGATCAAGTGATGTCATGTAAAAATATTGCAATGCATTAGAAATATTTTGTGTTGCATATTGTGTACAGTCTCTATGTGGCAAAAAATAGCTGCTCATGAATTTGTCCAAAGAGCGTAGTCAGATACTGTATATTCTCAGATTTAAAGGAATGCATATGTTGATGATATAAGATAGAAAACGTTTTAGAAATTATTTTAAAGATACAAAAGCTCTGGGTCAGAAAAGGTAAGAAGTGAATCAGTAGTTCACTGCTTTAGAAATTCATCCATCCATTTTCTAAGGGTCATGGGTGAACTGCAATCTATGCCATCAAGCAAAGGTGAGCTATATGCTAGACAGGAGACAAGTCCGTCACAGGGCACACACAGACTCAAGCATACTCATGCCAGGCCTAATTTTCCCAGAATCTATTTAATCTATCAGTATGTCTTTGGACTGTGGGAGATAAACCCCAGTGCTGCAAGGCAGCAGTGCTAACCAGTATACCATCATACCGCCCTGCTTTGAAGATTGCTAATAAAAAAACACAATTGTCATCTCAGAAATTGGCATGTTTGCCAAAGAGGCATTTCTAATCAGAGAGGACAGCAGGTGTTTGTTGTAAAATTAAATTTACTGAATTCACCCAAATAAGATATTCCAGTACATGAGCTATTTGATGGAATGGAAAATCAGAAATTAAAAAGTGTAATTTTGTATATATTGCAGCACCAATAGAAACAGCAAATTATGGATAAAATAACCTTTAAAGATAAAGGTGTAGTAAGTAAACTGCTCAATTTCAGATAAGATTGCACTCACATAAATTAATAGTTTTCCAGTTAAAGTTTGGAGAACTATTTACAACATGCAAACAGTGGATATGTCTGTCCTATTTGAAGTACATTACAGATGAATGTTTTACTGTGGTTTCTGCCTCATCTCATCTGTTAATTTCATCCCTGTGGTGGCAGGTTCTGTGTGTATTTTATTTTGGTGCTTTTGCAGTCTTTCCTATTTGTAAGTCTTCAGAAGCATGTGAGCGGACTGCTATTTGTCATCTCCCCCTTGCTGCTTTCCCCCTACTGAAATAAATGGAATACTGACTTTCCAAGGCATAGATGCTTCTGTTTCAAGGCCAGCCTCAGCTCACTTATCTACCGTAGATGAGAAAAAAACGGCAAAAAGATTTTTCATCTGGGTGGTGTTGTGCCATGGGAGTTAGTGTTGTTGCCCTACAGATTACCTGGGTTTGATCCTGGACTGAACTGCCCTTTGTGTGGAGTTTGATCTTCTATATTGAGACATTTTCCTGGCTGTAATCAAAGCATAAACAAAGTATCATAAAGTTACATAAATTAATTAATTCTTGTTTAAGAAGTACATAGGTTTTAAAATGTTAATAATCAAACGTACATGATGCAACCTAGTAACGGCTTATTTTTTCACTAGTTTGGTCAAATTCTAATTATGATGAGGTGAGAATACGGAGGTAGTGTACTGTATTACAGGGGTAGTGTATGTAGTGTACGCAGTGTTTTAGTGTATGGTGTGCATTCTTTGGCCATAGGGCTATAACAGCCCTGGCCAACAGACCAAGGCTGCCAAAACTTCTCTCACATACAGTATGAGGAATGAACCACGGAGGTAGCTACATGGGTGAAAATGGGGTGGATGACAGGTTCATAAAAATACGCTAAAAAGGGACACATAGCAGGCACTAATCTATATGTAAGAAAGCTAAACAGCAAGAAATGAATTTGACCTCCTCCCTAACGTTTGTTTAAAACTCCATTAAGGGCCTGGCAACTCAATCCTAAAAACTGCAGGACAAACATTTTTTATTTTAACATTAATGTTTAAAAATCAATCCATTAGAGTCTAATTATGGATCTAATCAAATTAATTTTAAATTTCTCTGAAAAAAAAAATAGCTTGCTTACCGTAGTTAGCCATTCTCTGCCTTTGCAGAGCTGTTTTAGCAATAACTTGTTCATGCTTGCAGCATTCCACCAGATATATGCAAGTGATCTCACATGAGGGCATTGTTTGTGTTAACCTTCTGTGTTAGATAAGATCCCGAGTTTCAGAAGTGTTGTTTTATTACTTGAAAGTACAAGTAGCTGGATAGATGAGCTCATTTAATTCACAGGATAAGGGTATGGTCCTTGAATGACTTATTACAGTGTGATGGTATCTTGAAATGTCACTGTACCTGCAATATGCAACATCAATCACAAAAGGCAGAGTAAGTACAGTTATCATTGAAAATGCTTTATGATAAAGAGATGCCACACCTTAAAATGAGATAGGATATCTATAATCTTCCAGTAAGGATGGATGTTTGCAACATCTATGATCATATAGGGGTGGTATGGTGATACAACAGTTACCGTTGCTGCCTCACAGTACTGGGTTCCTGGGTTATATTCCAAACCTTGGGTGCTACTGGTTCTGTATACAATTTGTATATTCTCCCCATGTTTGTGTGGGTTTCGTCGGGGTGCTCCAGTTTCTTTCTTTAGTTCAAGGACATGCTAGTAGGTTAATCAGCTTCTGGGAAAATTCCCCCTGTTGTGAGTGTGTGTCTGTGTCGGCTGTGGAATGAACAGGTATCCCTGTCCAGGGTGTATCCTGCCTTGCCTCCATTGCTTGCTTAGATAGGCTCCAGCTTCCCCATGACTCTGTGCTTGACAAAGCGGTGAGAAAAAGGGTGGATAGGTGAACATATGAGCTTGTCTGGGTAATTGTACAGGTGCAAGATGCAAATATTAACAGTCCTTTTATGAATGTGTTGTCTTCAATTTGTTTCAAATTAGGTGCAAAGATAGTATCTCGAGTATACATGGTTTATGGTCATATTGATATCCCAGCATGCAACCCATATCAAAACATAACACATTTCATAGAAAACTACAATATAATTCTTACAATTACTTCTGTTTCTTCTATATTGTTCTAGCATGCAGTGACCATGAGCTGAGAAGCCTTGCCTCCAGGTTAAAGGACTGGTTTGGTGCCCTTCACCAAGATGCCAATCGAGATCTTAAAACCACTACTGCCTCTGATGCAGCACAAGGTCGTAAGTATTAAGTGCTTTTTGACTAGAGGTCAACTAGGGCAATGTGTACATAATCTTTTCACATCTAGAGGAAGTGGACTATCCCCAATAGAAAACCCAAGTGACAGAGACTGTAATATATTTTTAAACACAAATTTAAATGGGGTTTACTGTGAGTGTCTTGGTGGCACAGTTTCACACTTCCAGGTTTGTAGGTTTATATCTGGCTGTCTGCATGCCCTCTCCATATTTGCTAGTTGTTTTCTGGATTTTGTGTTGTTTATTCAGTGTGTTTCAGTATATAAGTTACAGTAAATGGATGGATGGATTTTACTGTTTTCTGTTTCTGAGCTGGACATCTGCCTAGACACATATAAAATGGTCAAATATGATATAAATATATCTCATAAAATGGTAGAGAATAACCCTGAAATGTTAAACATCCACCTTCCATCAAGAATTCATAAAGATCAGACACATTTATTTCTCTGTCGTGAGAAAAGTACCCTAATGGACTGGCAATGTTTATGATCATTTATGATTGGCACAGTGGCACAATGGCTAACATTGCTGCCTCGCAGTGCTTATGCCCCGGGTTCATTTACAGACTTGGGGTGCTATCTGCATGGAGTTTGCATACACCCCCTGTATTCATGAGAGTTTCCTCCAGGTGCTCCAGTTTCCATCTGCAGTATGCTAATGGATTAAGTCTGTAAGTCTGATGAACATACGCTGAGGAAGTCTGTTAATAATATTAAAATATTGCAGAATTATACATTTCTAACCAGCCTTACCATTATTTATTTTAGTACCTATTCATGCCTTCTTGAACTTTCAGTATGCATTGCTTTTAGTAAATGTACTGTTGCTGGATTGCTGTAAAGTTTTATGAGGACTGTTGCAGCAATAAAATGGATTTTTCCATTAACTATGACTTGCTGATGTTTACAGAGGCAGCTTTAAAACTCTGATATATGTATGTCTCATATTTCTTCCACTTGCAAGCTCATCATTGGAAATATGTTTTTGCAGACCATCCTTATATTCTTCTATCCAGTTTATTGACTGCACAGAGCACAATTCATAACTTACCAATCAGCATTTTACACTGTTCCTAATGAAAATGAATGGCTAACCTGTTCTGTGCTGAGTGGAGTGTTAAGATTGTTTTCTGGAGTTTAAACTTATTCCGGCTATCCCACCTATTGTACAAGTAACTAATCTTATTCTACTGTATAAGATTGTACTGTAAGCTTGTTCCCAAGGCTTTCATACAAGGCGCTTCTATGAAAAAAAAGATCCATTTTTATAAAAATAAAATATCTTTAGGTTTTAAACCATTGATCTTCACTGAATGGCCTCAGGGCCATTCACACCCCACCTTCCTTGTTCCTAAATTTGTCCTTTCATATGATCCTTTGTTATAAAGATTTGTTGAAATTAAGAAATGCCACATTCTGCACTTGAGCTGGAAATCGAAAGTGAAGTGAGCTTTGGGTGTTTTATTTTGAATACTTCCCATTTATAAGGGTTATAAGTACTACTGTACATGTGTGATATACAACTCCCAGGAAACATTTCAGTTTATGTTTGTCTATCAATGTTCCAAGATGCAATTGCACAAAAGCTGTTGGTAATACTATGGACAAAAAATATGTTTTTGTATTTAATAAATAATAATTTGGGAAAAAAATGACAAAGACACGACATGATCTTCATTAGGAACACACTACGGGCGCTTCTGTTTATGTAAATGGCGGGTCTGTAAATAAAGCTGTTGAGGAAGCTACTGTAAAATGAAGGATTAGTTATGGGTGTACACTGACTTTCAAGGTAAGTCTAAATCTACTATCTCTATCATTAACATAATGTTTTTTTTGTATTAAACCCTAGTTATTTGAATGACCTTTTTTTACTGTGTACTGGGAATGTACTGTAATGAAAGATGCTGTCTATGTATGATGTTAATCAGCCAGCTCATCAGCTCTTAAAAAAAAAAGTTAACATCTGCTGGCTCAGTTAAATGACATGGATGTTAGAGCTTTATTTTAGGGATTGTAGAGAATACAGAAATTGTAAAGAAATGTGGTTTCTGCTGAAATTTTATATGCAGACTGCCCCAGTAGAAATGAAATGCTGAAACAAATTAGGAACCTACAGTTACCAGATACTGCAGTATTAAGGAAGATTGAAGTGATTGTTCAAGACATCCAACAACAGGTTATTTCAGATGTTTCAAAAGCTCCTTTTTCTAATCTTGCTCTTGATGAGACTACAGATGCATGCGATGTATTGCAATTTTGTGTCTGACATCTCTGCCCAAAAGATACTTGCTTCTGTGTGGTTCTCCTGTGTTTAATTCAATTGGAAGGGAAGACAAGGTGTGAAGATATTTTGAATGCACTTGAATGTTTTTGAGGAGACAGGGCAGTTTTGGAAGAAATATTGTCAATTTTGTGTGATGTTGCCCCAGGTATGTGAGAAGAATTATCTGGTGAAATTAAATAAAAATACTTTTTTTATTTATTTAAAGGATTAAGGGATTTTTATGATTATGTAACTCTTGTAAGCAAAGTAAAAATAGCAAAGCAGTAAAAAGTGAAAAGTAGAACAGAGGTTGTCACCAGCATTGTGGATTTCATAGCTTCAAAAGCTCTGAACCATTGCCTGTTCTGAGAATGAATTGAGAAGTATAAAACTGAGTATTGCAATCTGATTATGCATACTGAAGGAGGCTTTCTTGAGTGTGCTTTCTGAACCTGCTTTCTTTGATTCACAACGCCTTTGAAGAAAACGGAAAAAATCAGTTAGCTTTTCTTACCAAAAGCGGGGTGTAAGGAAAGACTACACCATAGACTGGAACAAGTCCAGTCACTGGGCATGTGTCAGGCCAATTTATGGACAGCAAAGAACTGCATCAGCATGCTTTAGGATGGTTGGAGGAGTTAAGTATTACCCCGGCAATCTTTACATCTTGCATCTCACACTGTCTGATTTCCTGTGGTTCAGCTCACTAGAGGAAGCCTTTGTAGGCCAGAACGTCAGTGATAACAGCGTGGTTCCAGCGGCAGTACAGGAATGACAGGAACAAAACAATCCTTTTATTACACTTTGTGAAGCACTGACAAACGTTAGTGGATATTCAAAGGGACAAGTAAAGAATACAAATAAAATACTTTGTTCCACTTGTAAAGTATACTGTATTTAGTGATTAATTCCCAGATTCCCTTTACTTTTTGATATACCTTAAAATATATTGTTACAAATGGGGGGTTACAAAAGTAGGAAGTTGGAAGTAGGAAGAAATCAAGAGTTGGCCAAGCAGTTTAGTCAATAAGTAAAATAATTATTCAGAACCCCCAACTTGTAAGAGATTTCTCTAGAATATACCTGAGTGGCTGGTATAATTAGAGGCATGTGAATTCTCTGGCACAGTTTTGTTGAAAAGAGTAATAATCCAGGCGCACTTGGTTAAACAAATATTGATTAACAATGACAAAACACAAAGTACACTTCACATAACAAAACATACAACACACAAGTTACTCTATGTACTGTACATGTCAGAACAAGGCGTATCAGAGGCCTAACACTTTAATCACCCAGAAAACCCCCAGACTTCTGCTAAGTATTAAACTCTTAATGCCTACAGAGGCCAAAAAATAGATAATAGCAGAATAAAGCACAGAATAGTATGCTCTCTCTAGCAAGGTTCAAATACTTAGCTGCAGTCAGGCTTCTTTCTTGTTCTCTTTCTGTGCTCTTAATGTGATCTTATATGGTGTACTGCTCATTGACAATCACTAACCCACAATTTACCTACTGTAGGTGTACCAAGGTAAACATTACAATCGTTTTTGCTGAAGGACTCCCCACATGTCAGCATACAGTACATCCTCTCTACTTTGAATCTAGAGGTGCCAGGTGTCACAAACTTTATCTAAACTCTAAGAGACACTTCCTAGTAACCTAAGGTTGTAATAAAATAAATATAACAGGTAGATTTTGTTAGCATAGTGATTGTCTAGGCAGAAGCAGTAGGAAACAATTCCAAAGAAGTATGACAGTACATGGAAAAATATGTATAATAATAATATTTCTCTAATAATAGATGATTGCTGTGTTCTGTTTGTTCAGTATTTCAATCAGATTCACATGCTGCAGTGGATAGAAGTTTGATTTGTTAAACTAAATGGTATCTGTCCTTGCTAGAGGGAAATTTTTAAATATTCATATGCTGTTGGAAATTCAATTCATAAGGCTACACTTAAAACAATCTCAAAAGGCCAGATTGACCTGAAATTCAGATAACACAGGATGATGTATAAATATTAATAAACACAATGAATTTTAATCAAATAATTATTTTGTAAAGGAAAAGAAGAATAATGTTCTGGAATCCTCACCTTATCCGCTTTTTCAATTCTTATTTTAATTAACATTCTTTCTATTAACAAGTTTGTGAAGTGTTAAATCTGTTTCTCCTGCCAAATTCCATTTAATTTAACTAGCTTTTAATATGTTTCAGCATCCTGACAGTTGTAGAAGTTTTCTTTGTTCTTCAGCTTTTGATTAACTTTTTTGTGTTGTTTGTAACTTAGATTGATCTTAGAGTAAAAAAGTTTCTAAGTTAAATGATTTCTGAATTTGATCACACTGAAAACAAACTTACATTGGATAATCCCTAATTTTTTTTTCTTGTTTTGGTAATAATTATACAGGTTCAAATTATTGTTAATTACTATCAAGCAACAAAAGTAGGGCACAAATATCCAGGCTACACTTAACCTATTTATGGAATTATGATGTGGATTTCAAAATGAATCTGTGCATGTTTAATTTTATACAAATATTTAATACAATCAGAAAGGTAAAAAATGAAGTGGGACATTCTGTTCTTTGTACTAATCCTTTTGCTAGTGAGTTACTAAATTTTCACAAAAATGTCCTTCATGGATTGCTTGTTTTTTTTTACAAACAGAATCGAAGCACCACCTATTTTCGGTCCACAATCTATCTGAAATACTGTCCTATGTTTGTCTGTTCTTCACATATTCGGCCCCTGTGTGCACATTTTCGTCTGCCATTTGATTCAATTATCAGCTGTGTATGATAGAATACCTAGATCTGGTTAGTCCTGAGACGCTAAGCTCCAAAAAAGAGGGAAGGGGTTGCAATGGGATGGAAAGACTTAATTATTAGGTTACCTGGGTCTGCTGATTGTTGAGATAAGGCAGCAATTCACTGTTACAGATCAGCTCCACTCAGCAAAATGAGCAACACAATGATACAGTATGTGCTCTTCAGAAAAACAATCTTCCAAGAGTGACAGGGGTTTGCTTGAAATCTTCCTTCAATGGGTAGCGTATTCTCTCTGCATCTCTTCTCTGTTTGAGGATCTTTGAGAGGAAATTAAATAATACATCTATCATCTTCTGCTGCATGAAATATTTATGTCAGAATTGTTACTGTGCCCTAGAATGTCCTCTAGGGCCTTCTGTTTCTTGTTTCACAATATGTAAGTTACTGTTAATGTTAAAGCTCTTTCAGACAGGTAATTGGTACAGGTCTCGGGAAAAGGAAAAAAAGAATATGCAATTGCCAAGCCTTGTGTTCTTTACTATCTTCATAGACATATTTTTACTTGCTTGTATTGTCTGTTATCTTTATTCCCAACACTCAATGAAATTTGTCCTTTTATATTCAGAGATGTACGAGCATTTTTAAGTAGAAGAATAAAGACTACAATTTTGAAATTGTAAAACTGAGTGCCTTTAAAAATCACTTAAAGGTTACACCTTCCATACAGTGGCACTTTTGAGGGTGTGAATGTGTTTATTTACATATTTTACATATTCAGTCTTTGCTTTGTAAATGTCAGTCATAAACACCATTGTTTGTGGAGAAAAGAAAGGGTATTTATAAAAATGAAAAAAAAAACCTATTACAATCATTTGAATTATTCCATTTGCAACATTCTCACTCTTAAACTTAAATATTTACCTGATACTAGTTTATTGTTAAATATTGTTTCACCATATTCATTGTAGTACTGTATATTGTTCTACAGAAACCCGTTTTAACAGACTACCTCAATTTTTCAGCTCCTTTTTCTACTCATCACCCTGATTAGCATTGCTTGTCTATTTTCTCTGCACAGGAAGTCTAACTCAAAATAATTGTTATTTTCTCTGCCTACTATTGGGAATGAATTCAATGTTAATAATATCTAGTGTGTGTTTTCTCAATTTTGAGTTCTCATGCTAGTGATATAGATAATCCATCTATTAGGAAAGTACCATGCCATCTGGAATACCATGTGATCGCACCACAAATTGCCTGTTAAACCCAATAGTGTAATTTCTAGTGTAATCATTCTAGGCTTCATCTTATAAACTTTATCTTCTTAAATCAATGGGATTATTTCTAAAGACATTTTCTTACACAAGTAACGGTCATGGAATTCAATCAAACCTATTCTGTAATTCCACTGTGATGAGATTCTTTGTAGTGGAACCTACTGTATTTGAAGTCAACTGATGCTACATTGAGCACAATCTGCGTAGGTGCTCCACTGCTGTTTAGAACCACTTAAGAATTAAAGTTGCTGAACTGAGAGTTATTTCTCCCTTTCTAGGGTTTGACACCAGCATCCTTCCCATATGTAAAGACTCCCTAGGTTGGATGTTCAACAAGCTGGATATGAATTATGACCTGCTCCTGGATCACACTGAGCTTAGTGCCATTTACCTGGACAAGTATGAGCAGTGCATGAAGCCCCTCTTCAACTCCTGTGACTCCTTCAAGGATGGGAAACTCTCCAACAATGAATGGTGCTACTGTTTCCAGAAGCCAGATGGTAGAGACTTCATTATTGCCATTAGCATGCAGCACAGTTTCTGATTTTCGAACTACTCAGTTCCATTTGCAGATGCCTGTCAACGGCTTGTTATATCAAGCTTTGACCCCAGGATTTGTTGAATGTTATTGCTTCCCATTTTTGTTTTGCAATTCCTTCCTTCTCTCTTGAAGCATCATTTGAAACATACCATTATTAATTTTGCACAGCCCATTTCTTTTTTTTCTCTCTCTCTGCTCTAGAGAGATTTATGATTTTGTAATGAAATGTTACAGAGTGACATGTCTCATAAAAGCCTGTGCTGCAGGAATTCAAAATCATACATTTTTCCTAACATAAAATAATAAAACATGTGGAACTCTGTTATCTTTCATTCTAACAAAGATTTAATATCAAGGGTGCCAAATACTTTCACAGAACAACTTTTTAAAAAAAAAATTAAAACAAATTGTGGGGGTACCATATTTATTGTTGATTTGATATCACTTGTTAAGATTTGACACAGGTTTCGATGGAATGGAATAGACTTACTGTACCAACCAGGCAAATTTGGCATTGTAAATATTAGAACAGTAAACATTGTTCGCAGTTGAACTAATAACAGTAATTTACAGTAGACCAGACAGCTTTAATTGGCATTGCTAGACCTTAAAACGTGCACTACAAAACCATATAAAAATCTTCCAAACAGAAAGGTCTTATAGTGTAATAACTGAAGGTTTCGCCTTAAAATCTTCTTATCACCTTGCCATACCATGTGAATCACAATGAACTATTGCCCTGTGTATAAAGGAATTTTATCTTTGTGTATGTCTACTCATACAGCATACCTGTACCCACAGTACACATTCACTGTGAGAAAGGGCTTCCAGTTTTAAAAATCAGTCTTGTTCTTGGAATAGTACTTACATTTAACCTACCACATTTTTAGAGGTAAAATGTTTTACGTTTTGCAGGAGAGCCCATTTGTATTTACAAAGATTGCCAGACAGTGCCTTTTTGTCATCATTTTTCATTATGTCGGTGTTCAAATTTCATCCTTAAAAAAATACCACTCATCTGCTATCCCAATCATGATCACAATTCTGTTGACTGTTTTCATTTTCAAAAACAGAAACCTGCTTATCTATACTGTGCTGTTTTTAGATGATGACCTCTTTTATTGTATTAATTCATTGTTAGTTTTACTTTTCTATCTTCTGCTTGATATTTCTTGATCTTCCTTTAATAAGATCCCCAAAACAACCCTTGTCATGGCTGTGAAGTTAAGTTTGACCTGAATTGCTCTTGTATTACAAGCTTAGGCTATCCCCAAGCAAACTACTGTCACTGGATTTGATTTGACCACTAAAGATATTTCACATGTGACCGGTTTTGATCTCAGGCTTGGGAGATAAAGGACTAGGAAAGTTAGTTGATTGGTCTGCTCTGATTTTCAGCTCTTAGCATGACCCTGTTGAATAAAATCTGCATGAAGAAGAATTTCCAGGTGGCTCCTATTCACCCTTTACAAAAGCTTGGGAATTTTTAGGTTCATGACAGAAGGCTGCCACAGTCAAATCTGTTAGAAAGAATTAAAGATAGTACCGGAGTGAAAAGAATAATTCTGTTTTTTGAAGAATGTTGAAGAGGTGCATTGCTGGAGATGTCATGCAATAGTAAGTGATTTAAAAAATACATTGCTTGTCATGACAAGTTCTGTTACATACTTCAAATTCAGGTGTTTGGTGGAAGGGACATCTTCTTTTATAACAAACTCGTTGCAAATCTGAATTTGGTTTTGATTCATTGTTGTTTTGTCCCACAGCAGCAACCAATGAGTCAAAAGACTTGTCCTACACATGCTCCTGCATCATGTAATACCTCATTAAAAAGGATGAACAGAAAACATTTTCATTCATTTCTTTTTTATCTATATATACATGTAAGCTGAATGCAGTGACTCACTCTAACTACAGTGCTGACTCTAGGCTTCCTGCACTCTACTCAGTTTGTCTTTTCTGCTTTTGCAGTTGTATATTACACATTCTAAAAACCCTCATTACCTCCCAAAGTAAAATAAATACAATGTAAAACAAGCAGCATACCATATTAACTTAATAAGTAAAGGATAGGAAGCTCAGCGGTTCTGTATTAAACCCACAGGAGCTATTTGTGCTTCTTACATTTGTTACCTATAAGCTGTTGACACAAGGTCGTGTGAGAGTGTATGCTGGAATAACAGTGAATACAATCTCTCCATGGCCTTTTGAAACATAATTGGGATTTCAAAAAGCTGTATCACTCTTTAGACCCCTTCCCACATGGTTCAGACATCAGCTGTGCCCCTTGAAGTGCAAGAGCTACAAATGCAAAGGGCAAACATGTTTGCTTAAGACGTTGTTGATTGGGGGTTTGTGTGTCAGGTCATGTGGGATCTAACACTGTCTGCTTCGATTTCATTGCAGGCCTCCCATGTCAGAATGAAATTAATAGAATTCAAAACCAAAGCAGACGGAAGCCCCTTGTAGGTGAGTACTGCCCAAGCAATTAGTTTGTGTCAGAAAGGTGTCGGAATTGATGAATGAGAACCTACTGGCATGTGAAACTTTATATCTGCTAAGGCTACAGTAGATGTAGCCTGAATAGAACTATCTATTTCCCTACTGTATTTTTTCTCTGCGCCTCATCTTCCTTTTACATATAAAGAAGCAGAGATGAACTTTGCATTACATTTTGCTATTCAATGAATGCTAATAATCAGACATGGTACCTGCACTTCCAGACATTGTTGTATCCATTCATTCAGTTTTTTGGCAGCTGCAAAAATAATTAAGGTGCTAATAAATAAATTAAACTACCAATATTGTTTTATTTTTTAAAATGACAAATACTGTTACAGTATAATAAGTAGGATTACATGGCAAGAGCTTCAGGAGAGATTTTAAATTCATGTAATTACTTTTAGAAATGGTGATTCCTCTCTGTTTATTACGTGCATAGTATTGACAAAGCAGTGATAGTGTAATTTTTAGGTGAATGATTTAAGAATTAAATCATGCGATTCACTGTAACATATTTTTGGGATATGTGTTTAAAAATTCTATGTCCTTCTATTGTATGCATACTGTATGCATATTTTAAATTTGATGTTTTTAGTAACAGTGAAATGACTTAAAGTGACAATACTAAATTCAGTTTGTAACTTATTGACATACGATCTACAGCAAACAAGCTTGTAATCTGAGTGTAATGTGTTCCTAATTTAATGTTCCTTGCAAATATTATTTCACAAAAAGAGAAAAGTCATTGACTCTCTTGATTTGAAGATAAAAGTATAAAGGTATACATGTAGTTGTATTCATAAATGTGTTAAACTGGTGATATGCAACAATCATACTAGTGGCCATAGATACAGAGAAGTAGATACAGAGATATTTACTTATTTTGCCTTTTAAATATTCAAGCATTTTATTATTTTGTAATTTTCCTGCTCATTTCTCAGTAGTTGAGCTTTGCATACTTAATGTTGGGTGTGAATATTTATAAATTTAGACTTTGTGATTCATTGGGATTCATTGTGTTATATTCTTGTTCCATCCAGTAGCATAAGGTCTGAAGGTGCAGTAAAGGCAGGGTAGTAAATGAGTGAATTAATAATCTTTGAAGAATAACATTCTTCAAGGAGACTGCAAATTAACCTTTGTAATATAATGGTGGTGAATAAAGAATTACATATAAATTGTGCATATCAGGCCCAACCATTGTGGCACACAACATATTTGTATAGTATCAATATTTATTCTATAGTATCAACACAACAGAAATTAACAATACCAAGTCATTTAAAGAAACCCCATCTCTGAAGGCTTCCTTCATAAATGGGTACTGCCTTACGTGGTACCATTGCAAAATTACAGATAAATATAGTAAACAAAATGTAAGTGTGGTAAAAAAACAAAATTGTGAATATACAAGTGCAGTAAATGTCCTCTAGTGTGCTGCTGAAATAAGGACTGTTTAAAGGGGGACTGCACATTATTTTTATATTTTGGGGTTAAAAAAGATCAACATCAAAGAGTGCATTTCAAACTTCAATGAAAGTAAAATGTGCACAGTAATGTGTAAAATCATTAATTCACATCACAAAATAGATCAAATTACCAGGTACTGTATGAATCAGCACCACATTGTCTTCAGAACGAGGTAATAAAAACTACAGTGACATGAACCGGCCCTATTAAATTTTAAACAAGCAGGCTTGTGAATACATCTCTTTTAATCCAATAGAAATATTGCTCTTGACTTTGAGACAGTTTTGCCGATGAATACTACTCACTTGTTAACATTGGAACATTAAGCTCATTAAGTAATGAACAGGAAGGGCCAATCTACAACACAATTCTTGCAAACTCAGTGGTGAGACCAGCCGTTTGCCACAACATGGTGACGATACAGTACTTTCCCAAAGTTCACTATTTTGTGTTTCGGGATTTGTAAAGTTTTGCGATACCATCAGTTAATTTATTTCCTTAGCGAGATTTAATAACTGGTCTAGGAAATCAAGAATGCAGTTCCCATTTAAGGTTAGTTGTTTGTTTAGTAGTTACTAAGCTACTTAAAAAAATAAATACGAATTTCCTGGTTCTTTAGCTGCTGACGATGTAACGAATCTATTACACTTTAGGATTCCTGACTGGAGCTGTACATCCTTTATGTATAACATCAATTTGTTTAATTCTTTTTTTGCCTTCAGGAGCTTTCATCCCGAGATGCAACGAGGAAGGTTACTTCAAGCCCACTCAGTGCCATGGAAGCACGGGGCAGTGCTGGTGTGTTGATAAATATGGCAATGAGATAGCAGGGTCCAGGAAACAAGGCAACCCCACCTGTGGTAAGAGCCAAGTATGCACATGAGAAAGTGAACACAGAATCCTGTGCGGGTACCGCTAATGTAGTTCTGTTTTTATCCCATTGTGTTTCTGTCTGCAGAGGAAGACCAGGAGACCTCAGGCGACTTTGGCAGCGGAGGAGCTGTGATCCTCCTGGATGACCAGGAGGATGAACGGGATCAGGCCAGTCGGCAGAAGGAGCGGAAGGTCAGAGTTCACCCACGAGGTGCCATCGAGGATGATGAAGATGAGGAGGATGACAAAGATGATGAGATTGGTTACGTCTGGTAGCTCTTCTAACACCTTTTCCAGGGACTCTCATTTATTGCACAGATCTGAAGCCATTCCACAGTTACTTCTCTCTCATGCTACGGAAATGAAAAAAAACAACAGATGTTCCCATTATCTTAGACTACAATTACAACAGAAAAACAAGCGTGTTCTCCCTTTCCTAGCTAAATTCTCTACATACACCACACCTTTGCCTATTCTGCATCAGTACCAAATCTGAATGTTTTATGGCAGAAGCTTCTTTTTAAATTCGCTGGTGGGCAGAAATTCTGTAGATTTAATGAGACTGAAAAAAACAAAAATTAGAAACACAGTGAAAGTCAAACATGAAGATTTGTTTTTTGTAGTCTGAGAGAAGTTTGACTTTGACATTGGTGAAATACAATGTGACCAGCAGTTTTTGTTCAGAGATAAGGCAGATGTACTGTATATGCTGGTTTCAGAAGGCTTTTGGCTTTTAAGGTGTGCAGTTTGATCCCCATAGATTCTGTCAAACTAAAGCACATTTGTTACAATAATGGCGACATGTCTTAGTAGCATTCTGTAATGCTTCATTGGTTTTTCTGCAACATCCTTACCAATTGTGTCAAATTTGTGTTTTTCTTATAATTTGTCTAATTATACAGTACATAACAAAGTCCCCTATATGGAAAGCTATAATTTTTATGTGGATATTCAAATCCTTTAATTTATATACTTGTTTCAAACTAATTTACATCCTGTGTACAATTAGGGTTCTTTGAATTAATGTAGCTCTTCTGAATTATTTTAAACTAATATCCCCACATCTCCTCTGCTCAAGCTTGATTCCATTCATCTTGTGGCTTATTCTTTCAATGAGATTTTGTGATTTGTGTTTTCTTTCCAAAATAACTTTCTAGTCTCACACCATCACTTTTGTTACTTTGTATAGCACTTCATTTCCAACCTGGTTATTGTTCGTTCAAAATGTATCACATTGAGATAAACACCTTTTGATTGTCATATAATAAAAGAGAACAAATATTAGCAAAGTAAACCTGTGAGGGAAAAAAAAGGCTTAGTAACAAAAAGTAAGAATATAAATTTAAAATGATTCAGGCTCTTTTGGTTGGTCTGCATTCATCGATTTACCCTGAGTTGACATGTATTCCTAATTTAAAGTTAAGCCAGGTCTTCAAACATCTGACACAAGGCTTAGTTTACAATAAGGAGTTTTAGTTGTGTTAAATTTAACTAAGTCATCCTCTGGGGTTCATGAGCTTTTGTTATGACTTGCGTCCACAGTTCTCAGTTTGTCTTATTGATTTTTCATTGATTGCTGTACTGAATGTCAAGCAGTTATAAATATGAAAGGGTCTGGATCCTCTTTTTTTTAATCTTCAGGCATCACAGGCTATTTTGAGACAGATAGTTATTTTTAGGTCAGCTGCATTTTTGCAGATTAGAGACACAATAGATATTATCATTTGTATCAAGATAATTTATTTCTCCAACAGTCTCTTGCATGCCCACAGCCCTTGGCACCAAGTAGTTGAATTAACACATTATGATACATACTCTATATACAGTACAGTACAGGTGGGATAAACATAGTGCAACATATGATGTAAGCTATAGAGTGTTTCCATACAGTAGGATATTGATATTTTTCCATCAATAGTAAGGAATGACTACTGTACATATAATCCCCTTCTCAATCATGCAGAGCTGAACAAATGGTATGGCTTCCTGGAGGTTTTGAATCCCAATAACAGTTTTTTGTATTATGATTTATTTAATACACACATTTATTTTTGTGGCTTTGCCTTAAACTCTGTTGTGGTAGACCCATTTTATGTTATAATCTTGTCCCTGTCAAAAGAGTGGGATTTTGGCATTCTAATTTTATTTCAGTACTTTTCTCTTGCAAATAAAGGCATTTGCTGCCTTGAATTTATTTGCAAGCTCCCTGTATACTAAATGAATGTACTGTACGACTTTAAAATGTGCCCGACTTTGTATTCTCATGCATGTCCAGTAGTAGTTCTCAAGGTAATTTCCATTGGCCCTTCACCTCAGTGCTTTTATGGTTTAAGAAAGAGGATTATAAAGTAAGTTTTAAGACATGCACAAAAAGGTGTAACTTTATTCGAGTAACTACTTATACTGTGAGAAAAGATTGTATGTTATCCTTCTGTTGAAGTCTGTCCTCTTTTTCTTTTTAAAGTCTTAATTCTTTCAAATGCTCTTTTAGCTGGTAATTTTGAAAACTGCAGCAGAATAAATGACAGGGGATCACTTCTTTTGCAATATTTTACAATATGCCTTTTTTCTCCCCTTTGTTTAAATTATTTTGTACATGACAGTGAGGGCATTTCATGTGTCGCAATTTTAAGGGGTACTCTTTTAATGTGCTCTTTCATGTGGAACAATTAACACAAGTGTTGGTTTTCACAAGTTTGTACTGCTAAATAGCACAGGAGAAGCTTACTGTGAAATACTAGGAGCATGACTAAATAATGTGCTTGCTTTCTTTTCTGTCTGTTAAATTGAATGTGAGCTGTTACTAATTCTAAAATAGTCAATAGGATTTTATTTTTTAAATACCATAAATTCTACAATCAAACAATTGCTTTGGAAAAGAACATAAGAATATGTGTTTGATTCAGTCAATCAATCTTGTTTTTCTGGAATACAATGCAGTGAAAGTTTGAACAGTGTTTGGCTAATAATAAATATGCATCAAAAGGCAGATGTTTGAGAAAACTTGCCAAAGCATTGCACTGTTGATTCATTACATACAGAATGTACTGACAGTTGATGATATGAGATGAGTAAATATTCCCTTTAAGAGAAGAGCTCCTGGTTGGAGTTTTAAGGTTAACACGCATACGGTTTTCCTAGGCCAGTCTGGTTCTGACTCAAACACCTGACACTAATATTTACTAACTGTCCTAGTAGTAATTGCTAAGAGGTATGCAAGATATTTTGTTATTTGTTTGTTTGTATGTTTCTTTTTTTAACTTTGTTATATGACCAGCAATGCTTCAGTAAGATGTTATTTCTGAATATATACATAAGTTATGATTGCAGCTCAACTCATTTCTTCACAATGCATATCCCCCTCACATGGTATAATCTTTTGTTTTCCCAAGATTCACTGCATTTTGACCGTGGGAGGTAGACTATATATACTGATGCACATTTCAACAAAAAATACACACTGGAATATAAACAATGTCACAGAACATAAAGGAATTGTGACAGACTTTAGCTATAAAATGACATTGGTATGCATTGTCATGCTTAGTTATTTTGGCAAAACTAATTATTGGACTTTGTTCTTAAAGCACTGATGCATAGACCTTATCAGCCTCTGGATAGACTGCTTTGGAAAGTTCTACCACTCTTCCTGTGGCAAAGGTTGGACTATTGCAGCTGGTTTGAGCAAGGCAAATGTCAGTGTAACACTCACCATGACATCTCACCAAGAAACCAAACAAGTGTTGTCTTCTATCAGGTCATTCATGAGCGAAACATCATCCAATCCTGATTAAAACACTGTCACTCTCTTTGTGATCACCTTAGGTGGCATTTTTGTCACTCAGCTGTCAGCTATACCCATGACCGACTTATGAGCACGCTGATCATTTTCATGCAGATGGCAGTCTACAGTTATTTTGCTAATGTGCAGGTTATCTTCTTCCTTCTTCCTGGAATTTCTTATGTTACAGTCACTGCAGTCTGAAAATCACTAAGCAGATGGATCAGATGGATGTGAAGTAAGAGCCTTGGCAAACTCTCCACCTTCCAAAATGTGGCTTGTCACTCACTATTCTGGTTCCCTAGTTTCTCCAAACTGTTCTGCTGAAATAGAGTATAATATTAGCCGAATATATCATTCTTCAGGCGACGTCTCTCTTGGACAAGCTGCCTTTAACCATGCCAATGGCAACAGGGAAATCTTCATTACTCTTGCATTAATTAAAATCATGCCTTTAAATGACTATTCAGTTTTTCTACAAACTCTTTTTGGCAATTTTAACTGTTCTTTAAAAAGGAACACTGAATATCTGGTGTTTTCATGAAATTATGTTACTCGATCTTGTCATTTTGTTATGCCAAGGAAGAGTACTAAGCAGAGTCAAAATGTCTTCTCACTATTTAAATTGTAAATAATTGTATTTACAGTATGTGTCCACTAAGCTATTGCTAGAGTATAGAATGTTACATTTTCATTGCATATCAATATATTTAAATGCAGATGAAGAAATAGGCTGTTATCTCATTTTGGATAACATAGCTGCCAGCCACTAGTGTATTAGTTATATGAACTGTAAAATGTATACAAATACAACAGATGTTCATCTGAGGTGAATCCTAACATCAAATTGTCCAGCATACTTGGTACTCAGTGCTCTGAAGTAGACCCTCAGTTTCTCACTCACTCCAGTAGAACATTTTTAATCTGAAAGACAACATATTTAATCTATTTTTTTCCCACAATATTACAGAAACTTTCCTCTTTGACTGTAATGGAATAAATTTATTCTGAAATTATATAAACAATCCTGATATAGCTATTAAAGAGTTATTAATGAGTTTTTGGAATGTTTTTTTCTTTAAAAAGTGACTTTAGAACAGCAAAGAGTGATCTATCCACCATGAATATGTTATTACATTGTTAAATTATCCTGCAAACAGTGATTGTACATTGTTTAGACTCTTACTCACAGAGTATTTGGAAATAAGCAAAGCTAATATTCCTTTGGACAAACTAATAATCTGTAAACCTTGCCTTTTCATATTAAGTCATCATAGTAAATGAGTGTTATTTACTTCTATATAATTATTCCTTGTTTGGCTAAGTTTGGTGTCTTGAGGTGTTACCGTTTCGAGGCAGCATGTAATTTCTCCACTAAACCACTAAACCACTGTTTCATACCTGTATGTTGTTGCCTGAAAAATATGCAAACTGACAGGTGTTTTTAACAGTTCCACGTATAGCATAGCATAGCAATCCTACAATAACAGCTGTCATTGCATGCAGCAATGTTTTCATGCAGTTACTGTATGCAAGAGCATATGAAGTAAGAACTTCTTTTTCAAGAGTGGAGGACATTAAATAACCTGCCACAATAAATGTTAATCAATCAGTGTTAAGATGTCTCTCATTGATCATTAGCATAAAGTTAAATTCACCTCTGAACACATTAAAGTATAAGGATTAAAGGGTTTTTGATGAGGGTGTTGGCTGTAGGTGTTGGTTCCCTGCAGAGAATATGATTGTCCAACTTCATCTCTCTCAAGACTTGTCAAAATTTTGTGGATTTTTTTTGCACCATTAAGGATATGAGGTTATGGATAAAATGATCCATCCTTCAGATGAAACATTAAACCGTGTTCTGGAGTCATTACAATTCCATGGAATCAGGATGTTATCCCTGGTGTCTTGGGTAATCTGGTCTACCTAAAGATCTCTGTTAATTAAATTGGTGAAACAATTCCTTGCTTTTGTACCTAATCTAGGTTGATGAGTGTCACCCAGGTGGAGTATGTAATTCAGTGGTGGGTGAATTGTGTCCTTTCCTTATATAGATAAAGTGCTCTGGAGTTTGTTGACTTAATAGTTAACTAATGCATTTAATACTTGAATGATGGATTGATCTACTTTATCTGATTGCTAAATTAAGCAAAGTGGTGCATTTCTGACATGTAGTCACACTGTAATCATGGTGCAACACTAGGAGATTCAATTAACATTTTTTAATGCTAGAGAAAGATACTTTTAGAATATTATTTTCCACCACTCCCATGTAGATTTTAACATAGCATGTCATGTCAACATCTGATGCCATTTGGAAAGATTATGGTTAATGATCCCAGAAGATCATAACCCTGGTTTTAAGCATCTTTCCTAGTTCAACAATAGACTGGCTTTAGTTTTCTTGGAAAACTATATACAATAGAAACAGTACTTTTGCTTTTTAAATTATATTGATAATAGCATCATTAACTATTCCATTTTTCCCATGCTCAGATCAATTATATTTTATTTTACCTTTAGCGATTATATCTCAGTAGTTGATGGATTCTTGAAGATAAGGTTGTGCTAGAAGAGCAGATTTCTAGTAACGCAAATATACATCTGCATCGTAGGAGAGTCTCAGAATTTATATATCATTGTGAAGTTGCAGTTTTCTTTTGCTCATACATGACTGAGAATGGAAGGATGTTGGATTTGTTACGCCGGGCCCAACAAGGTGTTGAAACTCAGTCTCGGTGAAAAGTAGAATCAATGAGCCAAGATATGCAGCAATCAAAATAATTTATTCTTTGGCAGCACCGAAGAGAACAAACAGAGCTGAGACTGAGGAAACAGCTGAGGCAGTAGCTGTGTAGCTGAAGCAGGCAGAGCAGAGGGCTGAGGTCTGAGGTGATGAAGAGCTGATTAGTGGCAATGACAGAGGAACTGGAAACTGAGGATTAAGAAACATTGAGAAATACTTCTGGTTCCTCAGGGCTTAAATACTGTGCGAGGTTCCCTAATTGGCCTGATAGGCCCGGCCTGATCTCATTGAGGATGGCCCCAATGAGTCTCTAGCATATGTGGAATGCTCATTGGTTATTGATGGAGCTAATGTGGTGGAGGTCGGGGCGTAACAGGATTAAAACATTAATTATACTGTGTTTGTTTTCTAAAACATGTACTGTAGCAAGGAATCATTTAAGACACTTAAATCTGATGGTACTGTACTGTAGAAGTCCACGTAAATATTCAAATTCCCTTGACCTTAACAGTACAGTGACATTTTTTGTGATTATATAAAGTTAATAATTAATTAAAACAACTTTGATCACAGCACTTTATTGAATCAGTGGGCTGCATTCCTCAAAGGGACATTTTTCAATTACATGTAGTTAACTTGCTTTAGTAGAAGTCCTGAAATTTAAATGCATTTCAATGTCAAGCTACAGTATAGAAGACTCCAACCCTTAATTAATTAATTAAAAGGTAGCAAACTTTGAATGTAAGGTATCTAGTAATTGTTTCTCTGAAAACTTGGAAGAATTTCAGAATATGTCTAATTGAACAAAAAATTAACATGGCTAACAACTAATCTGGTTATAAAAATACCCTTAAGGACTGGAATTTAGCAGACCTTCAGGATATTTTCTGCAGTGTACTCAGCACTGAAAATACAACATTTCACAAAAATAACTGCTAGTTCTAAATCCATGAAAGTGAATAATGTACTTTTGTAATGTGTCTTTGTTCTGCTAAGAGGTGTAATACAAGTACAGTATCTTACCAATACAGCACATTACATCTGTTGAGGTTTACCATGTACTGTTTATTAAAGTCTCCATGCAGAGTTACAGAAACAGAAGAATTGTTCTCAAACTGCTAAGCTTTTTTAATTGGAAAGTTTTTTTTGTTGTTTTAGAAAGAATATTGTAATGACAAAACTGAGCACACTTTCTGAAACAAACTGCAGGTTTGTATTACTTTTAAAGGTAGTCGTTGTTTTTTTTTCTCTCAAGGCCCTACAATAAATAGATAAGTTACTGTATATGAGATTAATTTGCTTAAAAAATTCAGCACTGTTCATTCTTCACCACGTCTGAAATTAGCTTTTCTTTTGCTCTTTGTAATTTGTTCCTCTGGAATAACTTTTTCAGATAACACACCACAGTAGACTTCTAAAAAGGTGGCACTGCATTTTTAACAACTTAAGAGACAAACAGTATACAGTACCATGTATAAAGCATGGTTCAGTAACTTAGTTGGGTGCCCTCTCATTCTCTCGTCCCTGTTTTTAATCTGTAATATTGTTATAAAGTCTTTAATGCACAATAACATAAATGGCCATATTTGCAGATGTCTTATTTGTTAATTTTATATTTTTTACTTTGTAAAGAAAACAAAATGTAATATAATGCCATCTATAGTACTGTGGCTGTGTTTATTTGCATTTAAAAGTGTATAAGTTGATAGTCTTCAGTGCAGCTAAATCAGTAGCTATTTAGAAACAACGTGTAGTGAGTTCTGAATGTTCTTCCTTCTGGAGTAAAAATGGAATGTTGATGTTTTTGGCTGACTTTCTGATTTCAATGTAACTGTTCCATTTTGTCTGTCTGAATAAATTTTAGTCTGTCCATTACTACTGTCTTATGTTTATTCACCTGCTGATTTGTAACATTTTCTGCATCAAATATATTCTGAAAGGCAATAATCAACCACATCAATATTGTCACATTTATTTTTTAAAGAATGTTTTTTTGGAGTGCATGCCCCCATGATTAAAAAATGTCACCATTAAAAAATTAAAAAATCTTCAAACTATTGTAAGCCATAGTAATTAATAGAAAACACATACAGTGGCTGTCAGTTTTTGTTTGTTTTTTTTAAGATCACTTTATTGGCCATATACTGTACACTTTCTTGTATTAGGAATTTGTCTTTTCACATACTCCAACTTGGTCTCCATGAGATACACAGACAGGGAGAGAAGTTTGGGGTCAGAGCGCAAGGTCAGCCATTTATACGGAGCAGTTGGGGTTAGGGGCCCAACGGAGTAGGATTCCTCTGCCAGCTATGGGATACGAACCAAGAACAGGCGCAGAATCTTAGCCACAGAGCCGCCACACCGTCCCCATCAGTTCTCGTTAAATCTGAGTTCTTCAATATTTAATTGAGGTTTACCACCCTAGAACACTAGAAAATCTACTAGTCTACCGTCACAGACTCTAGAAAATATTTGGGTCTTCTATTCTATGGCAAATCTTCTCTCTAGCTAATCCTTAATTATTGAAGTGAGTCAGTCAGTACCTCAATCAATTAAACAATTAAGGCTTGTTTTAATAATTGCAAATATTAAAGTTTTACATGGCCTTCATAGAGCCACAGTTGCCTACGTCTGTCCCAGAGCAGAGCTTATTCTGGTGACTTTTAGTGCTGGTCAGGTTTTGATACATCTGCACTCTATTAATTGAGTTCTTTATAGAGCAATAATTGGATTAATTAGAAGTATTATATTGCTTTCAGCCGTTAAACTGCTACAAATTACTGTTTAACTACTAAATTTTCTCAGTTACCTAAAATGTACTTCTTTTTAAGAGCAGAAATCTAGATAAATGTATAATTAAGCACATTATTTATGCAGTTTGGGATTTAATTAAGTGACATTGTACTCAGCTGAAATGAAAACCAGCACCCACAAAAGCAACTAAAGCCAGGTTTGGGAAATCCGGTTGAAGATGATCTTCTAGTTTTTATTCCACTTGAACTGTTAAGTAACTGGAAATCAATTATTAATTTAGTAGCTTAAAATAGTGGTGCCCCTGTTTCCACTGCTGTTATGACTGATGATCGTTAGTCATCAAAAATGTTAAGTTATATAAGAAAAACTGCAGAACTTCCTTCTTGCGGGACATCCTTAAAGTATCCCCACTTCATTTCTAACAGGAAATATTTGATTTTTAATCAGAGGACTAAATTCAGCTATTTCTAATTAAGCATTAACAAAGGAATGAACTACCTGTTTCCATTTTTTACTGATTGCTTTATATAATTTAGCTGATAATTACACAGAAACCAATCTGGGACTCATTTACTAAAGGAGCTTGGTATGTTGATTGCTTGCCACTTTTTTGAATCACGATCTTGACTCCTCTAAATTCCCAAAGGTACAGTACATTTGCTCAAAAACCAAACACACTACCGAACAAAGGGAAGCAATTAGTTCCTGACTGGCAATTTATGATTACCTTATAGAACCTGAGCTGAGTTTTATGCCTGCCCAACCCCTTCATGGCCTCCAGCAACACCTAAAGTGCATGGCTGTATTGTGCTTTGTTTGGGATCGGTCTTTCCAAACTGAAACATTTAAAGTACAGTATATTGTATCTGCATAAATACAACACATAAAATAAAACACATAAATGTTTGCAATAATTGCAATAATTAAAAACAATGCTGACATAATTTCCAAGAGAAGGGAACAGGCAACAGTGTTCCTAGCACAGGTAAGTGCAATATTCCATTATACTGTACTGCTTGATTTATAACTGAATATTACTCCAGCACTTAAGATGTATTTCTCACCAGGAGTTCATATCTGTAGTATCTCTGAACGTCTCAAGGGCAGTGGAGGGGCTTCATGGCAGCAGGTTTATCAATGAATTGTTTTGTGGTTTTAAAGTGATGTAGTTCGGTTATAAAAATGTCCATTTAAGTAACACTTTTAGTATCTTTCAGCTTGAACTTGTCATTAAATTGAATTATTCAATTAATAAAATTGTTGAATAATTATTATCGTTGATTTCCCCACCAACTGTCAATCCATTATCATCAATGACAGGACATTTTTTTTATTTTCTTTGTAAATGAATCTTCGCTGTAAATGTATTTTATTAACGTTTTAGTGAAAAACGTCAATGTTTTAGCCGATATTGCTCAATGACGTTCAATAGGTTTTTACCAAGAGCATCTATACATTTTCTAAACCATTTTTGTTGAAGCCCTGCTTAATTTTACGGCTAAAAATTGAAGATGGGGTGGGGTTCAACTACCAAGTATATGGGAGCAAGAGGTCTGGGATTAATATAATGATGGTCTGGGATCTACTGTAGATCAAAAATCAGCACACTTCAGCTTTTGATAGGAATCCCTGAACAGCAATTGACTCAAGCACGACAGGGTGAGGGATGTGAAAAATCCACACCGTAACTTCCCAGGTGCTGCCAGGTGTGTGGTGACATCTTCGAGGGATTTGACAGTCCTACAACTGGCACTTGTCAAAAAGATTAATAGCTGTAGTAGCCTGTCTGCCCATCTTTATTCTCTCGGCACTGGCAAGTAAAGGCCTCATGTCCTTTAGTCATGATGTACCATAGCAATGCATGTTGCTACTGTTGATTCAATTTAGATTTACTAAAAAAAAATCCAGAAATGTAGTATCATATTTTACAACCTGGAACGATAATTACTAAATCTGTGCAGAGTGATTATGTTATCCATGTGTTGAATGTAATAACTGCAAATTCTCCATCTTCCTGCTTAAATATGGTTTGCAATACAATTAAGAATAATGGAGAATAAATGTTTACAAACTTGCAACCAAATCTAGTTCAGTTTTTCAGAACCCCTGCAGTCATTTACATTGCTATGCTAAGCTTCTATGCAGTATATTGGTCTACTATTTGCAATTGTTTTTTATTTCCCATTGTTCCAATTAACTGTGATCCACTCAAACTTTATCCTTTAGATCTTAAGCAGACCCTTAGTCTTGATAATTGTTTGCTCTTGCATGAAAAGTAACCTTTTAGCTATATGGATTTGTAGAAAGGCATGGTGTGAATGAATACCTGAAAATTTGTTACTGTGCATTTGATTGATTTCAATGGAATGGAGTAGATATTAAAACACTTCATATTTGGCTCATGTATGATTTACCTTGAGTTGTCGTGAGCTAGTTTAGATTACAAAACAATGTGAATTGAAGATAACTAAAGGACAATTTGGTTCATTCTCATTAAACTGTATTGAAGAAAAAAGTTAAAGTTAGAAAACACTACTGGTTTTATAGAATAGTATTTATAGAAACTTATAGAGTCTATATTTAATATTTTGGCAATGTACTGTATATATAAAACTATAATTAGATCTAAAGAGTAAAAGGCTTTTTCTTATTGCTCTTTTGCTGTAAGGATCATTTTAATTCAAAACAAGATTAAAATGTAGTGAGACTTTTTAGACCTGAAAGTGAGTCAATTATTCATTGGTAGAAGAAATTCAAAAATCTCTTAAAGAAAATATCCTCCAGAGCTATTTAGTTTTTTTCCTGTATACAGAAAATTTACAAAATGTAATGCAGCTTGTTTGTCCTCAGACCCTGTAGAAGTTTGCAAAACTTGACACACCAGTCAACTAATATTCAATACATTGACATGTCACCTGAGCTAAGATGGTTATTAGCCTTTCTTTCTTCAGGACAATTGTTTTCCAGTTGTAACACAAGGCAGATCTTTAATAGATATTTTAATTTGTCTTGATAAAATGTTCCCCAAAGTAGAATTGACTGAAAATATTAGTTCAGCTTGAAGCATTGAGTCAATCTACGTGGGGTGTTTGCATGTCTATAAGGGGATCTAATCTCTCTTTTGCTATGGTAGATGCCCTCAAGAAAGTGGCAGTGATGCTCTTATCTTGAGTCTTTTATCTCCTAACAAGATTAAACCCGGAGCTTTCACACTGGTATACTCAAGCTGAGAATAAATGATACTGTGTGCAAGTTGGAGCAGCTATAATAAGAGTAGTCTTCCCAGGGAAGCAGTGCCATTATGATTTTGTTTACCAGTAAGTCCAGTGTCTGTCCCTGTTTTAGTAAAGAATCAAACAATAATGTTAACTGCTAAGTGTTCAATCAGCACAGTGTTTCACGTTGTTTATCACATTCCCTGTGTTGCCGCAGGTTATTGTCCTGATTATCTCTTGGCGGAGGCTAGTGCAGAATTACATGGGATTTTGGATAAAAATGATTCAATGTGGTAAATATGAATGATAAAGCTGATTGCCAGACCCATCCTCCAATGTGTTGTTTTGGGAAGATACTGGTGTCTGGAGAAGCCTGCTGTGTGCCTTGTGTGCACAATGTTTATTGGTTCAGGTCTGACAATATCTTATATGATACAGGATCTTGCGGTTGTTCTAATGAAGTTTCCACAACCCATCTAAATTTAGTTGTTTTTTATTAATTTACTGTGGCCTGTTTCTATCAAGATGTACAGTAGTTACTTGCACACATACAGGATGTTCAAACAATCATGTGCAGAGCTATTGCTAATGCTGAAGGTTATTATTCAGGAATGAATAAGACTAAGATCTTGCTGCATGAACAAGTTGGAATGAATTATTTCTTGTTTAAAAAAAACAACAAAGGTAGATAATGCAACCTCATGTACAGTATTTCATTTGCTGATTATGGAAGAGTTTGGTACTTAATATACTTTTATTGGTCCTTGCACTTATACAGCAGCTATTGTTCTTGACTGTCACATTCAAGATATCTAATGCCATTTCCATTCTGTTATTCAATTTGATTGATCATCCAGACCCTTATTGTTTTATATATGGAAAACTTGGGAGTGACACTGCTTAATA